AGTGGCGACCCCTGGCTGACCCCCGGAAGCTGCATCAGGGAGCCTTGGCAACGCAGAGGGTGGGAGAGGCGTTGCCCGGCAACCGCGGAGATGGAGAGGCGGGCCTTAGCAACGGGGCTGGTCCTGGCGCTCGACGTGGGAGAGGTCCTTAGCAACCGTGGGAGGATGCGGCCCTTAGCAACCAGGCCTGGCTCTGGGATGCTGGCGAGCGGGCCTCGGCAACGGAGGGTGACAGGGCTCTCTCAGGGGCTGTTGTGGAGATTGTCGCACCACTACACTCTTAAAGCGTTGCTATTCCACTCTTAACTGCTCTGGCTGCCTCCTGTTGCAGTTCAGTGAGGCCTAAGAGCTCTCTGGATGAATATTTTAAATGCCCCTCCCTCAACTGCAAATCCCAGAATGCAAAAGGAAGAAGCCAGAACAGTTAAAGCGGGATAGCAATGCTTTAAGAATGTAGTGCGATAATCTCGTGCTGTATCTATAGTAGAGAAATGATCCACTTTGACATTGCTTTAATTGCCCTGGCTCCATACTAGAGAATCCTGGGAATTGCATTTTATTGTAGTACCAGGGCTCTCTGACTGAAGGCTAAATGTCTCACCAACACCACAAATCCCAGAATTTCCTATCCATTGAGCCATGGTAGTTAAAGCGCTGTCAACCTGGATTATTTCTGCAGGGTGGATGTGGCCTGGCACTGCTTTCACTGCCCTGGCTCCATGCTATGGTATTCTGGAATTGTGGTTTTGTGAGACATTTAAGCCTTCTCTATCAGAGAGCTCTGGCACCGCAATAAACTACAATTCTCAGAATTCCATAGTAACAGTCAAAGTTTCTTCTCTTCACCAATATAGGCATTTCCCTGTTCCAAGCTACCTTGCAAGCAGAAAAAACAGTGAACAAAACTATATAGGTTCTGATATTTCTTTATTTAGAAATCTAAATCTTTTTCATTTCTGGCCCCTTTCCTAACAAGCTCAACCATACTCCCTGCATCTTCATGAGTCTCTCTTTTCTATTCCATAGTTTGGCTTGTTATGTTTTTTTTTTCCCCTGAATCATCAGCTCTCTGTTTTCTTCTCTTGCTCTGAGCTAGGTTTGGGCTGTTCCTCCACTGGGCTAGGTGACTTTTCCTCAGCTGCTTGGCTCTCTTTTTCAGGCTCCTCTGCTGAGGGAGATGGTTGGTTAGCTGTGGATGGTTTGCTTGAAGATCCCTCATCTGAACTGCTGCTTGTTCCTCCTTCCTTACTTGGCAGCTCCTGTGGAAAGACACAGAAAACATCAGAATACAGAACAGATCAGCAACAAGAGATATGCAAAGACTCAGATCTGTCTGAAACAATTTGGTTAATATTCATTTGTTATTCAGACTGTGAATCTGATTTATCTTCACTGCCCTCCCACACTGCATTGAAACATTTTGAGAAATGCATTTGGACAATAATGAACTCAGACCCACTCTTATACACAAGTAACCATCTGAGGACTTTGCAATGGTGTACCGGCTCAGTTTGTACTGTTAAACTGGTTTTATTTTGTATTGAGAAGTTTCATTAAAAAAGAAAACTTTCTAAAAAACAGAAAGGAGAACTTCATATCTTATCCTAATCTGAATGTGGCTGCTCCCATACCAGAGATGAGCCATGTACACTGCTCTAATACATGGAAGGAAAAGTGGGATTATAAATGTAATAAACAAATGCAATAAAATACTTGTGTGGTTGGTGGGAATTTGTTTGATACCCTTTGACTGACAGCAGAAAGACTGGGGTACCTTGTTTGGCCAGGGTCCCTCCAGACTAGAATCCAGCAGAGAACCCTCCCCACCAAAGCTCTCATCTTCCTCCTGCATGCTGATGAAGATGGTGGGAGTCTCTGCCTCTGGCACCTCATCTCTCAAGTCCACAGACTCTTCAGCAGGAGGTGGGGCTGATGGGGCTGCAGAACGAGGCTGCTGCTGCTGCTGCTGCTGCTGCTGCTGTTGTTGTTGCTGCTGCTGCTTCAGTTTCAGCTTCTGCTCTTCTTCCAATTGACGCTTCAGGGCCTTTTCCTGTGCTAAGCGGAGAGCGATCATGTCCTGGGACACCCGAGGAAGAAGCGGCTGGGGTTCCACTTCTTCCTGTAATGGAAATGAAAGTTTGTCAGGCACAACCCCCAAAACAAAACCCTTCTTCATTCCTTCAAAGTTTCAGCTAGCCCAGGGTGCAAGTGCAGCACATTCAGGTTACTTACTGGGCTTCCATTTCCTTCACAGCTGCAGAAAAAGTATTATCACTGGTTTCTGTTTTCAACTCTACAGAAAGGCCATCAGTATGAATAGCAAGTCCATAAGTCTGAACTAACCCAGCGAGTCCCATAATATTGCTCAAGTGTATGTGGCTGGTTGACAAAATAAGGTTGTTATACTTTTTTATATCAGCTGCAAATTTTGAGTTTCAAATTAAAAGTGTGTGGTGTGGGGGTCTTCTAGCAGAAAAGAAAAACAAAGGTCATATGGTTTAAACAAGAAAATACCCTGGTGATAAAGACATGTGTGGAACAGAAAGAGTGTTAACCTCTGCTTGATTCAGGAGATTTAATTCATGGGTATGTGAGCAAATTCAATGGGTCTCAGGGCCAATCTTTGGCCCCTGAGATCCCCTGGGGCCACTCAATCTACCAAAAATGCCAAAAAATTTAGGATGAGGGAATACTCATTTGAAAAACAGGTATTGTAGAGAAAAGTCATCCCCAGTAGATATCTGATGATGTTCTGTTTGAAGATCCTGTAAGGGAGAGGCTTTTGCCCACCTCTAAATAATCTCGAGAGAGAGAGATTATTTAGAGGTGGGCAAAGGCCTTTCCCTCACAGGATCTTCAAACAGAACATCATTAGAAATTGTCTCTCTTCACTTTTCAGACACTCATGAAACCAAAATATCATTATATAGGTTACCCAGCAAAAACCTCAATTGTTCACTGCAATGAACCTGCCCCTGTTCCATGCTCTACCTCTCTCTCTCTTCTCATTGCCTTGTTCCTGGGTGGGGCAGTGCCTCGCACTTCCTCTGTTGTCTGCAATTCCTTCCCTTCAGTGTCTTGTTTATTGCTCGCTTCCAGGATAGCCATGGTGGAATTGGGCACATGAGCTTGCTGAAAGTTGGGGAAAGGGGAGGGGGAAGCAGAGACAGAGAGGAGAGTCATACCATCAGGTTAATGATTAGCAGTAATCAAGACAGGACTAATGAGAACATTTCCTATTTCTCAAGCCAGGAAATACCAGGGAGTGACTGTAATCTTGTTTTGAATTAATCACAGTTACTAAATCTAGATGGTTCTCCAAGCCTGCTTTAAACACTGTCCTTCCAACTGTGAATTGGTTTAGAGGAAACTACTCTATGACAGACTGCATATTAAAACCTAAATGCCACTACAGGCACAACATAAGTTTTGATTTGACTGCACCAACTTCCACCCTGCTCTTTTTCCAGCTCCATTTTAACAGCGTACCTGATGAGGGGTGAAGGAACGGACGTGGGCCAGCAGAGGCTCTCGTAGCTCTGGGCATTTGTCAAAGACAGCGCTGAGCTGCTGAGGAGGTAACTGGAGGATGACCTGGAAGGACTGGGGCTTCGTACGCTGGCAGCACTTAATGAAGCCCTCCCAGACCTTGGGATACTTCCATACCTGTGGAGGAAGCAGAGAATTAGCATCAGCAGTCAGAATTTTCTCAGTGATTTGCCCCTCTGGTAAAAAAACACAGGAGTGGCCTTTGGGGATCGTGTTAAAATCTCTAGTTGACAATGATCTCTAGTAGAAAAACTGTCTTTAATAGAAAAAATGTGATCTCTCACATAAAAATTGGTTTTTCTCTATGTTTTTCTGCCAGTCAAAGAAACAATGGCCAAGGTATTGCATCATCAACATCACTATGAGAACAGAAGTCCTTCCTTATAGATATGGCTGACAACGCAGCCCCTCAACATCTACCTTTGCAGACTTGCAACACTAGAACCAAAATGTTTCTGAGGTGCTGGGGAAAGACATCTGCATCTCTCTTCCTGTCATGGGATGCAATGAGAACAGGCAGCTGGAGAAACTCCTTGAGGTCCTTCCACAGCTGCTTGTCTGAATCAGCCTAGCAAGCGATAGAGTGCTGGAGATGTCATTTCCCAGAGCCTTGGAAACTCTTTGGCTGGAGTATTGCCAGACTGCAAATGTAAGTTATTGGGGTCATGTTTGGTTGTTCACAGCTGAAAACATGAATCCTAGCAGTCACATGATCGCATGTCCAGCTTAAGATTTCGTAACTGCTGAAGCTCACCTGCTTCAAGATGAGTCGGGAGAGGATGTTCATGACAAAGCCACCCAGGCGAGGATACATGGTCAGTGACTGGATCACTGTCCGCATGAGGAGCATGGGCAGTGGGTTTTGTTCCATGAGCTGCTGCATTACTACAGCCAGAACCTCTGATGTGTACACGTTGCGTTCCGCAAAGCACAGGTTGGTGGCTGTGTGCAGGGAAACAGACAAGAGTAGCTGCTAAGAACAGGTAACACAAGGTAAGAAGTGGGGGGAAGTCTGCCAAAGAAGGGAAAAGACCACTGATACAAACATAGCCAGTTGTATGAGGTCAAGGGTAGGAATCTCTTTCAACCCAAGGTCCCAATTCAAATTCAGAGGGTTTACAAACAACAACTTAAAGTTCTTACTGTTAGATGTATTATAACCATTTAGAATGGGAAATATCCCACACAATGAAGGTATCATGAGGAAATGAACAAGACTCCTTGGATAATCTGAGAGAACTAGAGAGATTCTAAGACCTAAGGTTCCTCTCTCTGTGTTAGGTGGAGGAAAGGGTTGCTGTTGTGTGCCTTCAAATCATTTCCAACTTATGGCAACCCTAAGCAAAGCCTATCACAGGTTTTCTTGGCAAGATTTGTTCAGAGGAGCTTTGCTCAAGGCTTCTGAGGCTGTCAGTGTGTGACTTGCCCAAGGTCACCCAGTAGGTTTCCATGGCCAAGATGGGATTTGAACTCTGGTCTCCAGAGTTCTAGTCCAACACACAAACCACTATATCATACTGGCTCATCAAGAAAGAGTGTTAACATTTTTACTTCCAAGTAAAGGTACAAAGGACCAGAATCTAAACTCCATTATGTGCCTTGGAGCCATCTCCAGACTCTGACTACTGTCTGAGTCAGATCAAACAATCTCCGTAGAAGAACCCATGGGGAGATTTAACCTACATACGTGTGTTTTTCCTTTATAGCCTTAGCAGCCAGAAATAGCGGACTTACAGAATAGCAGCAATACCATGCTTAAAATGCCAACTGAGGCCCACCCTTAAATTGTCAAGATTATGAGAACCCTCTTTTTTCCTTTGCCCACAAAGAAAGAAATGAGTAGAAGATAGTCTAATACACATTAAAAGGCAACCATACCTTTGATGATAGACTTCATGTCACACTTGGTAGAATCAATGTTGTGGAGGGCTATCAGCAATTCACCAGGATTCAGAGGGGAAACAGCTGAGTTGCCTTCACCTGTTGGAATTGTGGCAAAAGAAAATCAGCATGTCTAAAGTACAGAACAGTTAGGTTTTGGGGCTATTAGAATCCCTCAGCCAGCATAGTCAGTGGGCATTGTTGTAATCCCCAAAACCAATCTTTCAAAGCTCTATCAGAGACTTAGGAGGACAAATTCTGATAAAATGGACAGTTAAGTGCCATTTGGTTGATGCTTTCCAATCCATGTTATAGCTCTGCTATTCACAGACAACAAGTTACATTACAGGTCTGCTGGCTATTCTAATCACTCCTCTTTTCCCATCCCTGGGACAACTTGTCACAGCTGAACAACTGCCTTTAGAGAAACTCAAGGCTTGCAGCTTGGATTCCTACCGTGTTGTGTTCCCAGCAGGCGATTAAAAACTTCCTTCACAACAATAGGGTTCAGCTTGATGAGCTTTGGGAGGGCCTGGATCACCTCTTTCTGATAGAAGAAAGAGAAATAAAGCTTCAAAAAGGAGTGGCAAAAAACCTCACATTGCTTTTGACAACACTTCTGAGGCAGAGAACTGGGTTTTACCATCTGACACTCTGAACACTGTCGCACTTCACACAAAGATAGGTATGTTTAAGATACTTAGTGCTTTAATGGATGCACCCATAAAGCAAGCCACAAGAGCACAGTTAGTTTTCTTGGTGGGAAGAAAGTCCCAGACTTAAGTAGGTCAGCCTCAGCAGTGTGACACTATCAATATAGGTTGAGTATACCGAAATACTCCAAAATCCAAAACTGTCCACATAGGTGGCTGAGATAGTGACATGTTTGCTTTATAACTGTTCAGTGTACATAAACTATAAATCATGTACAAAATTATTAAAAACATTATGCAGAAAATTATCTTCAAGCTATGTGTATGAGGTGTAAGCAAGACATAAATGAATTTCATGTTTAGACTTTGGTCCCATCTTCAAGATGTTTCATTATAAGTACATGCAAATATTCCAAAATCCAAAAAAAATAAAAATAAAAATAAAAACCCAGAATCCAAAACACTTCTGATCCTAAGCATTTTGGATAAGGGAGATATGACCTCTACTGGCAGTTTTAGTTTCAGTGCCTTTCCTAATGATCCCCTGAGTGGCATTTGCCTCTTACACAGCCACCTCACACTGTATCAAAATTGTATCACTGGCTGTCCTCCTTAACTTCAATTAACCTTCTGCACCCTACTGAAAAAAATAATTGGAAAATGCTCAGGTCCAAAGTGACAGCCAGTAGGGTAAGGATGAGAGAAGTTATGGATCATAAACCTGCTTTCTACTGGGCCTCAGAGAATACCTTTTCCAAGCCGTTGAGGACAGGGATAAGAAATCGGACATCTGGGAGCCTTTTGTTGTACAGATCTCGAACCCGCTTCACTAACTCTGGAGACGGAGGAACTGAGTGGAAAAAGTAGTGTTAGATTATGCAACAGAACAGAAACAAGCGCCAACAATACAATGCTCCTTGGGTAGCACACAGCCTAGTCCTACAGTAATTCTCACAAATCATTACTCAGATAATTCCTGCAAGCCACTTTTGAGTCCCTGGAAGGGGATAGCATGTCAAGAATTGTTTCTATTCAGCCATATTAGCATTTAGATTTCTAAAATCTCCAGATTTGAAACTAAAGGAAACAAAGAAAGAAAATAAAGGAGGAGCAGTGCCCACATGGACTTGCCCAACCCAGAAAGCCACCCCTGGACTAGCTGTATTGTTCCACCTCTCCACAGAACACAAAAATATGCTCTGCATACCTTTATCCGTGAGGCTGTGAAGGCAGCGGGTTACCAAGGTTTCTGCACCTTTGGGGCAGTTTTTAACTAGTTTGAGCAACTCCTGGGAATTCATGCCCATCCCACGGATCTGGAGGAGAGATGATGTGGGGAAAGGAGTAGAATGTCAGGAATGGGGAATCCCTTGCAACAAGGGTGGGAGACATCTTTTAGCTCAAAGGCCAAATTCAGTTCCAAAGCAGTTCAGACCCAGTGGTAGGTGGGTCCAAAGATACCAATAGCTTAAATAAAGCTCTCATTGTGAGAATCTGAGGCTGCTGCCACACTTGCAGAAATAAAACAACTTTGACACCACTTTAACTTCCATGGCTAAATGATATGGAATTCTGGGATTTGTATTTTTATGAGATATTTAGCCTTCCTCATCAGAGTTCTGATGCCCACCAAACTACACATCTCAGAATTACATAGCATTGAGCCATGGAAGCTACAGTGGTGTCAAACTGCTTTATTTCTGCATTGTGGCAGCAGCCTGAAAAGAGGAACTAAGTGTCGCGGGGGGTGTACAAAAGCTGGGAAACCACCAAACAATGAAGTTTTGGGGGAATGGATTCTGAGGAACCCTCTCCTGACTCCCAGGAGAGCTGGATTCAGGCCCTTCATCCAGGCATGAAGTTTCCCATCCTAGCCTAGAGATCATTAATCTAGGATTTCCAAACTACCTACCGGCTGCTCAATAACTCTGAGGACGGTGCGCTTGATGTCAGCGATGGCCTCCGTGTACACAGATGCCAATTCATGGATCAATTTGTGGTTCTGTGGCAGGAGGGCCAAGTAGAGGTAGAGGCAATGCTTGATGGTCTCTTCTGTCCAGGGAGCAGCCACCTCTGCAAGGCAACAAAGAAGTTTGGAGAGGAAGAGGCCATGTTTCTTGCTTCCAAGGGGTTAGATTCACCCTGGAAAAGTTGGGGGATGAAAGGAGGGGAATGAAAGGGGGAGAGTACAGGGACCCATCTCAATACAGTTTTAGGGTTTTGATCTACAATCCCATAATCTTCCAAACCAGCATTAGTTGGGTTCTGGGAGTTGAATTTCAAAGGAGTAATTTTTCTAAGTTTCAGTTTTGTTTAAGAATTCCAGACAAGGGAGACTCAATCTGAACACATTATACCTCAGTGTCTCCCTGGACATATGTGTCCCATTATACATATTTCTGCAAAGGTGGAACTGGGGATTGTTCTACTTCAGCATGTCTTCATTATTATGGGGTAAGCCCCAACCTGTGGCACACATATATACACACACCTTGACCTGGGTCAGATCAATTACCTGTATCTTTGTCAGCACCAAACAGAACGGAGGGGGGATTGGGATGGACCAGGAGCTGCAAGTAATTCAGGGCAAATTTCTCCACATATTCCCGCAGTTGATCTTTCTCATACATCCGCTTGATGAATAGCAGTGCTTGCTGGCGAACCTGAGACAGAGGGATACTATACTGGTCATCTGAAACCCCAACAAGAACTTGTACCAGTTCTATGGTTTTGTTTTGTTTGTTTTTTTAAAAATGGAAAGCTTATTTAATTGTTTAGTATTTTTAAAATTATAAATTGATGGGGTATTGTGTTTAATCTGTGCTTTAAGATGCCTTGGGTCTGATGCTGGAAAAAGATCAAATCAACATAGGAGATAGATTAAATAAATAGATATATTTGCATGATGGGGGGGAGGTGTGTTGTTCATATTTGCCTTCAAGTGATTTTAACTTATACGGAATGTGTCCTAGGGTTTTCTTGGCAAGATTAATTTACAGATTTGCCCCCACCTTCCTCTGAGGCTGAGAAAGTGAGACTTGTCCAAAGTTAGCCAATGGGAAACTTTGGGCAATGGGTTTCCATGACCAAGCAGGGATTTGACTCCAACTTTCCCTGACTCCTACTCCAACATTCAGCCTGTGTAGCTCAATTAGAAGGTTGTGTGACTTATCCAAGGATTTAAAGCTGCACACAAGTTGCCTCAGATCAGAGCATGATAGTTATTTTTGTAGTACAACACCCAGCATTCCCCAAACAGCATAGCAACTAGCCATGCTGGCTGGAAGATTCTGGAGATTGTAGTCCACTCCTCAAACCAAACCAAACCAAACCATTCCTTGGTCTGCTTCAGACAACCTATGTAAGCTGGCTCAAGACTTACTTTGTCCTTCTCATGGGAGCTGAGGTCCAAGAGAACATGCAGGTACTCAAACTGCCTAGCTGGACGTTTGAAGATCAGATCCCGAAGCGTTGACATGCCCAGGTATGTCCGACTCTGCAAGACAGACAGAGATACATTCCAGTCAAGTGGAGGAGGAGGATGCAGGCCAGAATTCTCAAAGCAAGGTAGGTCAACTTGGGGAAAATGTCATTTTGAATACACTGGATGAGACCCAGATTGGGTCACATTACATGCTTATACATAGTTGAGCTGGCAAAAAAAGCTTCCTTGCCTCCTCCTACCCATGGAAGTCCATCAGCCCCCCCACAAAACATACCAGATTGGTGGATTCTGCTGTAAGGACTGTACTGCAGTGTAGGGCAGTGCTTCTCACAGTGTCTGTGAGTGGATTGTGGATTTGTTTGTTTTTCTAATGTATAGGGTAATTCAAAATGAATAGTGCAAAAGTAAAGTTGTTCTTATTTGGTTTTGCACCATTCTTTTTGTATCACTCTGTATCAGGAACCAACATCTTAATTGTGTCCACTGGCTACAACTGTTTCCTTATTTCCTGGAAACTTTCCACAGACTGGCAGCCAGTGGCTC